GTCGTTTTGTGGTTAAACTTGAAATAGTTTTTTGAGATTAAAGTTGAAATGTGGTGATTACAGCTGTCATTTTAAACTAAACCGCCACAACTCCTATAACCTCTACGAAATGTGTAGATCAGTTAGTGAAACAAACTGATCAGCTGTGTTATGGTGTCTGACCCATCAATATCCTTGCATCATTTTGTACAAATCCGGCCAACTCTTCCAAATTTTTCCTTCTGACCAGATGCAACTTTTGGCACCATTTTTTCACTGTCCTTGTTTGTATAAGGATGGCTGTAGGTCAGGAGGTAGAGCAGGTCATGTGCTTATTGGAAGGTTGGTGGTTTGATCCCTGGCTCCTCCAGTCTGCATGCCAAATATCCTTGCGCAAAATACTAACCCAGGTTGCTCTCTGATGCATTCATCGCAGTGTGAATGTGTATGATTGGTAGATAGAAAGCATAGAGCATTCCAATCCATGTGACTGGAGTAGAAAATAAAAATCAGTCCATTTAGCAATCACCACACTGTGTTTATGTGCTTAAATAATTTCTTTGTAACTGTGTCAGGCAAGTTATTGTTAATGTCTGGCTCTCTTCCACAGTGTCTTTGTCCTGTCTTCCTCCACTCACCCCCGTTGCGGCAGGTGGCTTCGCCCTCTCTTAGCCTGGTTCTGCCAAAGCTTTCTTCTTGTTAAAAGGGAGTTTTTCCTTCCCACTGTTGCCAAAGTGCTTGCTCATCAGGGGTTATCTGACTGTTGGAGTTTTGTCTGTTTGCTGTTTATTGCTGTCGGGTCCTTACCTTACAATGTAAAGTTCCTTGAGGCAACTGTTGTTATGATTTGGTGCTATAGAAATAAAACTGAATTGAACTAAATTATTTATTTTACCTTTGCTGAAGAAAATTCCTATTACCTGGAAAATCATCAACTGAGATCCTAACACGGATCACAGACAATGGGAAATGGTGGGAAAGCTTATTAACTCCATTTGATGGCAGCTGGGACTGTATGTTTTCAACTTGGCTAAGACAGGAGGACCATGGGCTGTATTCACCCTTGTTGTGTTGGCTATTAAACCTTGATTATACTCTAATTTAGTCAGACATGGACAGCTAGAAATACTGCAGATGAGTAGGTGTTCCATCTATAGGCACATGTGTAGTTGGTGTATTTTTGTGTGGTCACAAAAAGCTTGGCAGGCACGTGGACATTAACAAAGACCTGCATGCTCAAGTCTGATGACAACATTTCATTCGAACCCATGATGTCTGTACTGAGAGGTGTGCAGTCTGCTTTACTGAAACGAAAGCTATGCACACTTGATGTTTCGGTCTTCTGTCACATCATCAATAAGCACAGGTTACTCAGTGCCACTGGAAGTCATGCTTGCCCATACATCACAATGTTTCACACAGGTTTTACAGATGATGTTGTGAGCGTTGAATCGTGACCCATTTCAAACCTTCTCCATACAGTGGGGCAAAAAAGTATTTAGTCAGCCACCGATTGTGCAAGTTCCCCCACTTAAAATGATGACAGAGGTCAGTAATTTGCACCAGAGGTACACTTCAACTGTGAGAGACAGAATGTGAAAAAAAATCCATGAATCCACATGGTAGGATTTGTAAAGAATTTATTCGTAAATTAGGGTGGAAAATAAGTATTTGGTCACCTCAAACAAGGAAAATCTCTGGCTCTCACAGACCTGTAACGTCTTCTGTAAGAAGCTTTTCTGTCCCCCACTCGTTACCTGTATGAATGGCACCTGTTTGAACTCATCATCTGTATAAAAGACACCTGTCCACAGCCTCAAACAGTCAGACTCCAAACTCCGCCATGGCCAAGACCAAAGAGCTTTCGAAGGACACCAGGAAAAGTATTGTAGACCTGCACCAGACTGGGAAGAGTGAATCTACAATAGGCAAGCAGCTTGGTGTGAAAAAATCAACTGTGGGAGCAATCATCAGAAAATGGAAGACATACAAGACCACTGATAATCTCCCTCGATCTGGGGCTCCACGCAAGATCTCATCCCGTGGGGTCAAAATGATCATGAGAACGGTGAGCAAAGATCCCAGAACCACACGGGGGGACCTGGTGAATGACCTGCAGAGAGCTGGGACCAAAGTAACAAAGGTCACCATCAGTAACACACTACAACGGCAGGGAATCAAATCCCGCAGTGCCAGACGTGTTCCGCTGCTGAAGCCAGTGCATGTCCAGGCCCGTCTGAAGTTTGCCAGAGAGCACATGGATGATACAGCAGAGGATTGGGAGAATGTCATGTGGTCAGATGAAACCAAAGTAGAACTTTTTGGTATAAACTCAACTCGTCGTGTTTGGAGGAAGAAGAATACTGAGTTGCATCCCAAGAACACCATACCTACTGTGAAGCATGGGGGTGGAAACATCATGCTATGGGGCTGTTTTTCTGCCAAGGGGACAGGACGACTGATCCGTGTTAAGGACAGAATGAATGGGGCCATGTATCGTGAGATTTTGAGCCAAAACCTCCTTCCATCAGTGAGAACTTTGAAGATGAAACGAGGCTGGGTCTTCCAACATGACAATGATCCAAAACACACCGCCCGGGCAACAAAGGAGTGGCTCCGTAAGAAGCATTTGAAAGTCCTGGAGTGGCCTAGCCAGTCTCCAGACCTCAACCCCATAGAAAATCTGTGGCGGGAGTTGAAAGTCCGTGTTGCTCGGCGACAGCCCCAAAACATCACTGCTCTCGAGAAGATCTGCATGGAGGAATGGGCCAAAATACCAGCTACTGTGTGTGCAAACCTGGTAAAGACCTATAGTAAACGTTTGACCTCTGTTATTGCCAACAAAGGTTATGTTACAAAGTATTGAGTTGTATTTTTGTTATTGACCAAATACTTATTTTCCACCCTGATTTACGAATAAATTCTTTACAAATCCTACCATGTGGATTCATGGATTTTTTTTTCACATTCTGTCTCTTACAGTTGAAGTGTACCTCTGGTGCAAATTACTGACCTCTGTCATCATTTTAGGTGGGGGAACCTGCACAATCGGTGGCTGACTAAATACTTTTTTGCCCCACTGTATATTTTTTTCCTTATAATTCTGTTGCATTCGTAGAGTCATTGATCCAATGAATGCTGTTTCGGAACTTTTCTTGCTTTTTACATTTTCTTTCTTTCTTTCTTTCTTTCTTTCTTTCTTTCTTTCTTTCTTTCTTTCTTTCTTTGATGGACTTGTAATGATACATCTACCTCCTGAAAATGGTTCTTATGAAGGGCATCAAAAGCATCAGGCAATCATCTACCACTGGTCTCTTCCACGGATATCCAGGCCTTTTTATGCCTGTAGAGCTGACCAGCTCACTATATTTTCAGAATGAACTAGAACCGAATGAACTCTCATGTTTCCACTTTCTCTGTGATGGATTTGTTTTATTTTTGAAGTATGGGCAGAATTGCCCATTTCACACACATTGAGAGTTCCACTGAAACTGTTTCCGAAATCCAAATGCTACACTTGGAAATCAACTGCAGACCTTTTACTTCCAAGTACGGGAAACAGCTTTTGCTAGAATTGTCCGATTACATTTGA